AAGAACCAGCAGAACCAGGAGAACCAGGAGAACTTTGGACCAGGTGGGAAATATTGCTATAGAAAAACAGAAAGAGCAGTTAGATCTCAGACATGAATCCTGATTGATTTAAGTCTAAAAATGCAAAAGTTCTCAGGATCATCTTAACATTTCTCAGAGTTTCTAGAATCCAATCAGCTTTGAACATGAAGGTTCTGATCTTCTGAAGGTCTGCGTGTCTAAAAACAGGTTCAAACATGTTTGTAGATGCAGAGCAGATCCTGACAGCAATATTACAGTACAGTAAATTAAACCAAAAGCAACATTTTATTTTTAGCACTTAGAGAAAGGCTACCTATATCTGTGCAGAGATCTTTATAGATAATCAACAACACGTCCATTTATTGCACTATTAAAAATTAAGTGCAAGTTTAATTTAAAGCTGATTATTTGGGACATTTGGAGATCAGACCTTCAGTATTTACTGGAAATGTTAGAAATGTGGTAAAATATTTGTGGTTGTTTTGTTGTTTGTGTTTCCTTCATTAAGTTCATGGACTTGAATCATGATTGATTTTAGTCTAAAATGCAAAAGTTCTCAGGATCATCTTAACATTTTTTAGAGTTTCTAGAATCCAATCAGCTTTGAACATGAAGGTTCTGATCTTCTGAAGGTCTGCGTGTCTAAAACAGGTTCAAACATGTTTGTAGATGCAGAGCAGATCCTAACAGCAGGTTCTATGTGATTTATGTTTATAATTCAGCAGACAGTGTTTCTATAAAGTCAGGAGCAAACAGAGAATAAAAATATCTGCAGTCATTGTTTCTAAAAGGGAGACGTTGGAACAAAGACAGAGGATGGAGAGAAACAAGGAAACTGTCAGAAATAACAAAAATGAATTAATAGTAATTAATGAAAAGATAACTTGCAAAAATCTATTTCTCATCACTGCAGGGATTTTCTTTCTTCCCTAAATTCAACAAAGCATGAAGCAAAATGTTTCCACCTGGAGTCTGTGCGCAGGAGAACTTTTTTCATATTTAATTTTGACAATTTAAATGTGTTATTTTCATAATTTTATTATTTCTCCATTTGTTGTAGCACTTAGAGATAGCCCATATACGTAGAGTGTTCTATAAATATTATTACATTTATAATAATAATCATCATCATCATTATTAGCTACCAGATGTCACTGATTCACGTTTTCCAGCCCAAAAAATTTTCAGAAACCGTAGTTTGGTTTAAAGAAAGCATTTTAGTTTTATTAGAATTTAGTTTGTTACAAGGATTTTGCAGTTTGAAGAAATAGAAAATGACACCATATACCAACCGCCATGAGGATGTGCATGACAAGGAAGGGCTATATATGGATGATTCTTTAACAACGGGCACTATTGGCCTTGCAAACTTGAAGAGAAAAAGTATAATAAAATATAAATTCTCACAATGTAAGTGGTTAGCATAACTAGTCTAGTTTGAAGATTCATAAGAAAACAAACTGATTTTTTAAGACAAATTGGTGTTTTTTAACAGATTTTCCAACTCGGCTGGCACAAATTTAATTTCCATCACATAAATATTTGTCATTTATTCTAAAATACTATGATACACATAATGTTTTTCACTGGAAGAACCATTTCATATATACTTTTAACTGGTTATGCCTTTATTTTCAAACACATACAGTTATGGATTAGGTAAATTAATTGTGATGAGGATACAAGACACGAATCTTATGTTCGCCATAACCTGAGATAAAGCATTGGAATCGCAAGATACATTTCAAGGTGTAAATACTTCTGTTTTTAATTAAAGTGGAACATTATCTCTTAAATTATGATGAAGGTTTTAATGAGTGATTAGAATTTTGCAACAATTTACTTCAAAACAAATGGTGTTGAAATTATAATGAATGGACCATACAGACAACAAACCTTTCTTTTTAAAAGCTTTATGGAGCATAATAATAAATAATAATGATAAATAAATACATTATTAAATAATAATAAATTAATTGCATTTGTACATGGGTGGTACTAAGGGTGGGAGAGAGGGGGTGGCACCACCGCAAAATGCTTAGCATGTAAATTATAGTTAGAAACATGTCAANTAAAACAGGTTCAAACATGTTTGTAGATGCAGAGCAGATCCTGACAGCAGGTTCTATGTGATTTATGTTTATAATTCAGCAGACAGTGAGTTCAAACCTTTCTTTGTGTTTTTGCCTTCAGCAATGTTCAGATCAGGTTCTAATGACCAAACTAATTCATGTATTTAATACTTTTGCTAAGTGTGAAGAGATTTTCCAGATCTGAAACTTAACTGCAGACACAGGTTTCATCTTTTTCAGTATTTCTATAAAGTCAGGAATAAACTAGAATAAAAATATCATTGTTTCCACAAAAGAGACGTTGAAACAAAGACAGAGGATGGAGAGAAACAAGGAAACTGTAGGAAATAACAAAAGTGAATTAATAGTAATTAATGAAAAGATAATTTACAAACATCTATTTCTCATCACTGCAGGGATTTTTTTCTTCCCTAAATTCAACAAAGCATGAAGCAAAATGTTTCCACCTGGAGTCTGTGTGCAGGAGACCTTTTTTTTGTATTTAATTTTGACAATGTAAATGTGTTATTTTCATCATTTTATTATTTCTCCTTTTGTTGTAGCACTTAGAGATAGCCCATATATGTAGAGTGTTCTATAAATATTATTAAATTTATAATAATAATCATCATCATCATTATTAGCTACCAGATGTCACTGACTCACGTTTTCCAGCCAAAAAAATTTTCATAAACCGCCTGAATATACGAAATCTCACCCAATTTGAACCAAAGTCTATTGATCTCTTAGGCCATAAAAAACATTTTTTACCCATAGACGGCCGTCCTAAGCTGCCAGATTGGGAACACCATGCACCGCAACATATTATGTATTAATATTAAAACATAAATTTGCCAAATATAAGAGGAACATCGTAGTTTGGTTTAAAGAAAGCATTTTAGTTTTATTATAATTTAGTTTGTGCAAGGATTTAACTGTTTGAACAAATAGAAAATGACACCATATGCTGACCACCATGAGGATATGCATGACAAGGAAGGGCTATATATGGGTGATTCTTTAACTACGGGCACTATTGGCCTTGCAAAGTTGAAGAGAAAGAGTATAATAAGATATAAATTCTCACAATGGAATCGGTTAGCATAATTAGTCTAGTTTGAAGATTCATAAGAAAACAAACTGATTTTTTAAGACAAATTGGTGTTTTTTAACAGATTTCCCAACTCGGCTGGCACAAATTTAATTTCCATCACATAAATATTTGTCATTTATTCTAAAATA